ATGTATATATATATATATGTATATATATATATATATATATATATATATATATATAACTGAGTCACTTTGTGGTACAGCAGATATTAACACAACGTTGTAAAGCAACTAGACTTCGATTTTAAAAAGTACAGTGTGGAGCAAAAGAAGCAGGGGTGGGCGGAAGATCAAAAATCAGGCAAAACTAAACCATAAAGCTAAGGGTAGTGGCCGCCTTTAGGAGAGAGAATTCGTGGAGATGTACAGTTATGATCTGTGCATTTTTCAATGTATTATGTTAAACTTGTTTAAAATATATTAAAAATTATTGGCACTGGCAAAAAAAATTCTAGTTTTAGACCCAACCCCAAAGTTCTGTATATCTCCATGATACCAATGCACAAACTTGAACTGTTTAAAGGATTTTCTATTATAAAATATCCTATGGTTTACCTTTTTGCCGTCTAATCTTTGCACACGTCTCTGATTAATTTCCTGAGATAAACCTTGAGAAATACATTTGAATCAAAGGATGGGAATCAAAGGATTTGCAATATACTATATAGTATTTTTTTGATAACGGTCTCACCAAACTACCTTCTGTAAAGTTTAACCAACTTACTCTTCCGCCTCCTGTGTATAATGATACCCATTTGCTTGCAAATTCACGAACACAGAATATTAAAATCATAAAGTAGACCATTTGCTAAGCAAAACTTATATCTCAGTGTGGGCCCTGTTCATGGGCCCTGTTTTGTTTACATTTTAAACATTTCCTTATTAAACGTTTGATCTGAGCCAACTTTCTTTTCCCGTTGGAAATTCAACAACTTCTTACTTTGTCATTAAAAAGAGGATTTTTTTCATCGCTGTTTAAAAACACAAAACATTAAATCTACCGTCTCGATCCCTTTCAACTGTACACTGTATTGCTGTTAAATATTTTCACCTTGTTGTGCAACAGATCTCCAGGATGTTTTCATCTGGCAAAACCCTGAAGCTCTACATTCAGTCAACGCTAGTTCCCATCCTCCTACTCCCAGCCCTTGGAAGCCACCTTCTATTTTCAGTTTCCATGTATTAGTGATACCAGCCTTTTGATCGGCATACTGCAGATATTCCTCCCAATTTACCGTTTGCCTTCTGCTGTCGCAGATCGTATATATAATAGCATATGCGGACGTTTGTGGGGGAGTATTTGTTTAGTTTTGATGTAGAGTCAAATCTACTGATCTTTTCCGTAATGGACATCCTTCCTCTTCCCCAGTTGTAACCAGGAAGAGAAAACATGCCTGTTTTATGTGTTCTCGTAAAACCTCCAAATATGAAAATACCCGCACACAGCATATTTGAATAGGTAGAACTGTAATCTTCAGAAAAGAATTC